GTTCAAGAAAAATATGTTTTATCTTAGATTAGATTGTCTAATAGTTGGATTGTACAAATCATAATTTTTAATAAATTTATATATCAAATATTCAAATACTATATTTTAAAAGACAATATAAATGAACAAATGATATATCATAGCATATCAATTGTTCAAAAATTCTATGGAGCCATCAGATTGTTTTTTTATGGAGTCATCCATCACTTAATATAGTGATACCTGTCTAAATTGTATTTATTGTAGGACACGTGTCAATGCACTATTGGTGAATAAGTATGGATTGCTCCATAAGCTGAACCATTCGATGGCTCCATAGCAAAATTGATCAATTGTTATACTTCATGAAACCATCTAAACAAAAATAAGATCTTACAAAGAAGATGCATAATTTATGATTTTCCTTCACAAATTGTGAATACTTGACATTTAGGCCAAAATAATAATAATAATAATAATAATAATAATAATAATAATGTGAATAAATTAGTGTATCTGAATTAGGGGATTTGGCATGAGCCGCATGATATTGCAATAGTATTTGGCCAAATTGGTATAAGTCAATTTTTATTTTTATTTATTTTTTTGGGTGACCAATTAATCGCAATTGCCTCCGCTTAATTAGGCGAAGAAAATAAAAACCGAAATAAAAAGGGGGAAAAAGAAAACAATAAAAAATCCAGATCATTATCCATCAAACAGCTCTTTCAGTGTGCGCGTAAAAACAGAGGCGCCGGTCACACGCAACTCAGCTCAAACCGAACCTCCACTTTCCTAGTGAGAGAAAGCTCGGTTTATGCTCGGCGCTTACGGATGTAAATGTAGAGAGAAAATGAGCATATGTGCCGCCATTTTCATCACACCCTAACAAGCTATTCATAGTCCATTCTTCAACGGTATGTTAATTTCTGCTTGAAAGTGCAGATGAAATGCGATTTTTCTTCATTTGATGTGTGATGGATCTTGAAATGAATTATTCCTTTTCTTGACAGCAAACGGTTCGAGAAAACGGCGGCGGCGGCGGCTGATTCAAATTCCGCTTCCGTTTGGAGAAGTTGAAAATCAGAGGATCAGTTACAACGGAGTGGGTGACGGCGGGGAAATGGATGATAGAGGTGGAGGAGGAGGAGGATCGTTTGTCGCGGTGAGGCGTATT